TGATCTGTTCTGTACGACATCTATTGCACGTCTGTCCGTCCTGGAAGAGGGATCCCTCCTCAGTTGCTCTTCCTGAGGTTTCTACCATTTTTTTTCTCCGTTAAAGGGTTTTTTTGGGGAGTTTTTCCTGATCAGCTGTGAGGGTCATAAGGACAGAGGGATGTCGTATGCTGTAAAGCCCTGTGAGGCAAACTGTGATTTGTGATATTGGGCTTTATAAATAAAATTGATTGATTGATTGATTGACAGTAGGCTCAGATTGGCGCACAATGCATGCCGGTTACTTTTGTGTCCGACTTCATCCCGACTTGCTCTGACGTATTACAAAAGTGGACGGTGATAAAATGGCGAGAGTGAGGTGACTGCAGTTTTTAGAGCCAGGCGCTGCTGCTGCTCTCCACCGACTGCACCTCCTGGCTCTCACTTGATCTAACAGCTGATTGGTTTAGATGCTGACTCAACAAGATGACGTTTTAGATAAACTTTTAATTTTTGTTGAATTTCAGAGATTTAAATTTGATTTGTCTGATTTGAAGGTTTATTCTGTAACAGAAAACATGTTGTGTGACTGATGGTGAAGTTTAGTCGTCACAGACTGAAAACATTCATCATAAACTATACAGAGTCTATTGTGTATTAACACTGGGCTGGTATTGAAGTCTTTAACATCACACAGACTGGTGGTCAGTGGGATGTGAGTGTTTCTGTGACTTCCTGTACGGACTAAGTGTTGCTGGAAACTGTTGGACTTCACCGCAGCTTTTTGTCACTGCCTCCTGCTGCAGCTGCCTGATCTCGTCCACTGTCCAGGTGAGTAGGAGGTGAGCTTGAACGAGCCTTTTAGCCTCTTTTTAGCATACTACACTCATTCTTTGACATGCTCCTTTTTTTCAAATACTACAACATGACGTTTTTTCACAATTTTTGATGACATGCTAAACTAAGACGTTTTTTCGTGATTTTGCGTGACATACTATACGATGGCATTTTTTCAAGATGTTGGGTGGCATACTATACTATGATGTTTTTTCAAGATTTTTGTCAACATGCTGTACTATGACTTTTTTTTCACAATTTCTGTCGACATGCTATACTATGACTTTTTTTCACAGCTTTGACAACATAGGTGATCTTGAACGAGCCTTTTAGCCTCTTTTTAGCATACTACACTCATTCTTTGATATGCTCCATTTTTTCAAATACTACACCATGACGTTTTTTCAGTTTTTGATGACATGCTAAACTAAGACGTTTTTTTGTGATTTTGCGTGACATACTATACGATGACATTTTTTCAAGATGTTGGGTGACATACTATACTTTGACGTTTTTTCAAGATTTTGCATACTATACTATGACGTTTTTCCAAGATTTTGGACGACATGCTATACTATGACATTTTTTCAAGATGTTGCACAACATACTATAGTATGACGTTTTTTCAAGATTTTGCATGACATACTATACGATGACATTTTTTCAAGATGTTGGATGACATACTATACTATGACATTTTTTCAAGATGTTGGGTGACATACTATACTTTGACGTTTTTTCAAGATTTTGGACGACATGCTATACTATGACGTTTTTTCAAGATTTTGGACGACATGCTATACTATGACTTTTTTTTCAAGAGTTTGAATGTCATACTATAGTGTGACATTTTTCAAGATTTTGGACGACATGCCATACTATGACGTTTTTTCAAGATTTTGGTTGTCATACTATAGTATGACATTTTTCAAGATTTTGGACAACTTCCTATAGAACGACGTTTTTTTCAGGATTTTGGACAACATGCTATACTATGACGTCTTTTCAAGATTTTGCAAGACATACTATACTATGACGTCTTTTCGAGATTTTGCAAGACATACTATACTATGACATTTTGTCATGATTTTGCACGACATGCTATACTATGACATTTTTTCAAGATTTTGGATGACATGCCATACTATGACGTTTTTTCAAGATTTTGCACGACATACTACACTGACTTTTTTTCCTGATTATGAACGACATACTATACTATGACGTTTTTTCAAGATTTTGGACGACATGCTATACTATGACTTTTTTTTCAAGAGTTTGAATGTCATACTATAGTGTCACATTTTTCAAGATTTTGGACGACATGATTTTGGACGACATGCTATACTATGACTTTTTTCAGCATTTTGGAAAACATGCTATACTATGACGTCTTTTCAAGACTTTGCAAGACATACTATACTATGACTTTTTTTCAAGATTTTGGACAACATGCTATACTATGACGTTTTTTCAAGATTTTGGACAACATGCTATAGTATGACATTTTTTCAAGATTTTTGACAACATGCTATACTATGACATTTTTTCAAGATTTTGGACGACATGCTATACTATGACTTTTTTTCATGATTTTGGACGACATGCCATACTATGACTTTTTTTCATGATTTTGGACGACATGCTATACTATGACTTTTTTTCATGATTTTGGACGACATGCCATACTATGACTTTTTTTCAAGATTTTGGACGACATGCTATACTATGACGTTTTTTCAAGATTTTGGACGACATACTATACTATGACGTTTTTTTCAAGATTTTGGATGACATGCTATACTATGACTTTTTTTCAAGATTTTGGACGACATGCCATACTATGACGTTTTTTCAAGATTTTGGTTGTCATACTATAGTATGACATTTTTCAAGATTTTTGACAACTTGCTATAGAATGACGTTTTTTCAGGATTTTGGACGACATGCTATACTATGACGTCTTTTCAAGATTTTGCAAGACATACTATACTATGACGTCTTTTTGAGATTTTGCAAGACATACTATACTATGACATTTTGTCATGATTTTGCACGACATACTATAACGTTCCTTTTCAAGATTTTGCACAGCATATTTTTACATTAGTTTGGACGACATAGTATACTTTGACATTTTTACGAGAACATGCTATACTATGATGTTTTTTCAAGATTTTGGACAACATGCTATGCTATGACGTTTTTTCAAGACTTTGGACGACATACATGTAATATGACGGGGTTTTGTCTTATTATACTATGACCTTTTTTTACATGATTTTTGACATGCTGACATGTTACTCTACTAGGCCGTTTTGTACGTCAAAACAAGTCGTACAACATAAAAATAAAAATAGTATTTTGTGGCATGAAAATATCATTTTAAAAAAAGTTTATGATGTAAAATCGCTGTAGTGTATGTGTTCAGTATTTCATCGAAAATTGCCCTGGTGTAGTCTGTTTATATAAAATGTTAAAAAAAAAAAAAAAAAAAAGGTTAGTATGTTAAAAATTTACCAACCAGGTCACAGTCTAGCATGTTGTAAAAATGTAAAAACAACATTAATATGTTGACTGAAAGTCACGTGTTGTATTGGCACAAGAATAAAAGAACAATGTAAAGTCCACTTCTGTGATCTTTAATATTTGCTCCGTCCTGAAATGGAGTCTTCAAAAACAGCTGATGATGAATCAGACACGACTCACAGACTCAGGTCCTTTAGAGATTTTATTCCTCTTTAAGACAAAGACAAAAACAAGTTTCATTGTGCATAACAGTAGTACAGCAGCGGCCGAGGGTACAAAATGCTTTTTCATTTTTCAGTGTAAAAATAACTCTCCTCATACGTCTCACCTGTGCCGTCCTGTTGTAGTGCAAACGCTTCAAATCAAAGTTAGGCACATGATGGATACGATACGATCGCAGTTCAATTACACTTAAATGCTGATGACAGTCATGTCGTTCTGGATTCCTTTTTCTGAGCGTGTTCAACATGGCAGACTGAAGAAATGATGACAGCGGGAGGTTACAAGGTAAGCAAAGGGCAGTTTGACTTCCTGTTGGATGAAGCAGATAAAGAAAGACCTAGAGAAGATGGAGGTTACCTGTCGGCTGGTTTCACTAAGTGCAGCTGAGTTTAACACTAACTATAAGTTCAATGCAGGCGTGTGGTCCCAGCAACCATCACTACGTCTCCGTGCTTGATGCTTTTGCTTGGATCTGAAAATGTGAGCAAGCGTTTAAGTGGCAACTTGACATCTTTCTACTTTAAGAAAAAAAAAAAAAAAATAAACCTAGCTGAAAATAAAGTTTTCAGATTTACATATGTTACAAATAAAAAATAAATATCAGCTCTGTTTTTTTCATGGAGGCATTTTTCGGATTCATCAAGAAAATAACAGGTACAAAGAGCGCCCGTCCATCTGTCTCCTCCCACCAACACAGTGCAGCTTATGTTCAAAGTGTAGCTCCGCCATCAGGACGCCAGCACGCCTCGGCGGATGATTTCGGACCCGTAGCGGCGACCCAGAGACGAGTCGCCCCTCAGCTGGTGCGAGTGGCATCGCTTCAAGCAGGGCTCCATGTCACCATCGCCTGGTTTGGAGTCGGAGGCGTAGCCGTCATTCTCTGTCCCCGTGCGGAGTCTGGTCCTGGGGAATGACGGCTCCGGCGTGTTGGTCAGAGGCCTCAGCAGTGGCTTGCGGGGCTCCACCTCCTCCTGTTCCTTCACCGTTGCCGCCAGAGGCCTCATGCTCCTTTTGGGGATCCTGAACTTCCCCCAGCTTCGAAGATGTCCGCCCATGTGTCTGCTGGTCGTATGTGAGTTGTTGGCCTGAGCTCTCCTCAGCCAGCCATTAGCTTTGGCGGTGGTGGCAGCGGCAGAGTCTGAGACCTCGCTGGCTCTGCTGAGTTTAGTGTTGGTTGTCCCGTCCAGGGAGGCGGGGCTTCTTTTGGTCATTCCTTCATCGATGAAGTAGTCGTCAGTGTCAGAGTTCCTGATGTCGACCAGCCGGATGGACACGGTCTTCTCCAGGTGTTTGGAGCCGAACCTGTTCTTCACCTGGCTGGGGAAGCTCTCCGTCACATCGCTCCTCCTCTTCCTCTTTCTCTCGTCTTGTTCGTGGTTATTGTCTCGTTTCCGTCGGGCCAGCGCCTCATGTTCGGGCCCCGGGGCCTCCCTCCTGGGGCCCTTCCTGCTCTCCAGTTTGTGCAGCTTGACTGTGACTGTTTCCTGGATGACCTCTGGCTTCTTAAGCTCTGTGCTGATGTCAGAGCTGTGGAGTTTGGCGTTGTGGGCAGGCTCCGCCTCTTTAATTCGGGGCCCTTTACTGTCCTTGGTCTCCAGTGGTTTGCTCAGATTTTCCTTCCTGTGAGTGTGCGGCGAGTCCGACAGGCTTTTTCTTTTCTCCTGCTTCAAAGAGCTTCGTTTGGTTTTGAGTCCAGAGTGAGTCCAGGAGTAGCAAGACTGCGAGCCCTGAGACGATAACCAGCCCACAGAGAAGAGCTTCTCCAGATCCTTCGCCGACGGATCACCTGGAACACACACAGGACACACACACACACACATTCAGCACCACTTTCATGTTTTCATATTATCCTGCATCATGTCGTGATGACGGGATCTTATGATTCTGTAAAGGAGACTCTTCAGTTGCTGCACCACGTGAACAACACAGCTCCACACCAACAGCTGACCACAGTTGAGTCCATCTCAGAGTCATTCAGTGAACTTTGGTTTAGTTTCTCACAAATTCAACCTCAGGGTCGGAAACATGCCGAGGTTTTTCAAAATTCTGGGTAATTTATAAAAGTTCCTGCGGTAGAAAAGGGGCTTATGTTAGCACTATTAGCACTGTTAGCTCAATGCTAAAGGGATTTTGTGGCTAAAAATCCAGCTGTTCATTTATACATCTTGTACATACAAAAACAGATCCGTCTGTTTCAGATGCTGTAAACGTCACTGCCCTCGTACTTCTGTGTGTCTTTAATGATGTCATAGACACAGCCTAGAGGGCGGAGTCAGAAGTTACAACCAACAAGGCGATGGTGGAGGAGGGTGTGATATTGTACCTTTGAATGGAGGCAGTGTTGTAGACAGTGGTGGTCTGTGACGTGTGGGCGGAGAATTGTTTTCCTTGTTTTACTGAGTTGTTCTGTTCTGACATTATTTAAATGTCTTCATCTTCTCCTACAGTCGTATCTCACCTGAACTACTCTACACTGCCTCCACCGTCTCTGGTGGCTCTGCTTCGTTTCACCTGTAAGCTCTCAGACAATGTGCTCAGATACAGACGAGATGAAGGCAGAGTGCTGACAGAAACTCCGCCTGTCTCTGAATCTGATGTGGAATCTGTGTGAAATGAGTCCTAACATGAACTGAACTCTACACTTTCCTCCACATGTATAATCTATTACAATAATCGATCTGCAGACACGCAGCAGCTCTCAGAGTGAAGGAGTGACCGCTGACACTTTATGTATTAACCTTTAAACTACCACGCTGCTTCGGAGCAGTCAGAACCAAATCAAAGTCACACAGAAGCTCTGACACCACAGGCAGAGACATGAACTATGAAGCCACTTCAACGAACCAGGAAATCTTTTCACTATCTGTTTGACTAACCCGTCACACTGGTGTCTGATAACTGCTGCTACAGAGCTGGTTATGGACCAGTTCAGTCCTATCCAGCCGGCATGTATGATGCTGACATGTTCTGTGGCGTTGCAGACTGACCTGAGAGCAGCTCGTGGTCAAGCAGTCGGACTTGGTGCTGGAAGATCTGTTCCTGGACTCTCCACAGCGAACGCTTCATCTTCTCCCTCCGAGTCACCATGTAGGTCAGGTTACGCACCTGAGGAGGAAGGTCAGAGGTCAGAGGTTAGAGGTTAGATTATTTGATCTTCTCCTTTCTTTAAAGATATCTTTCATTTATAGTTTATTATTAAATGTGTGACAGAGACTCTTCATGTGTTACCGACAGACTGAACACACATGATGGAGGAACAGAGTTATTGTCAGTTACACTCTGAATCAGTTTGTATATTAATGTAACGTGTCGTTAAACTGAGGAGTTCAGACAGACAGCAGGTCGTCAGTGAGGTCATTACAGGAAACCTTCAGCTCTGGTATGTGGTTATTGCAGTATATATCCTTATTAACAGGCTATGTACTACAGTCTTTTAAGGTAGCTGTAATTAATCCTCTCCTAAAAAAGCCCACCCTGGATCCAGAGGTGTTAGCCAACTATAGACCAATATCTAATCTTCCCTTTATGTCAAAGATCCTTGAGAAAGTAGTCGCAGACCAGCTGTGTGATTTTCTCCAGGATAATAATTTATTTGAGGAATTTCAGTCAGGATTTAGAGTGCATCATAGCACTGAGACAGCTCTAGTTAAAATTACAAATGACCTTCTGATTGCTTCAGACAAAGGACTCGTCTCTGTTCTTGTTTTATTAGATCTTAGTGCGGCGTTTGACACAATTGACCATCAAATTCTACTGCAGAGACTGGATCACTTAATTGGCCTAAAAGGTTCAGCACTAAGCTGGTTTAAATCTTATTTATCTGATCGTTTTCAATTTGTTGACGTTCGTAATGAATCATCCTTACGTACCAAAGTTTGTTTTGGAGTTCCGCAAGGTTCTGTGCTCGGACCAATCCTATTTACTCTATATATGCTTCCTTTAGGTAACATCATTAGAAATCACTCTATAAATTTCCATTGTTATGCGGATGATACACAGTTGTATTTATCGATGAAGCCAGAAGAAAGTAATCAATTAACTAAACTCCATAACTGCCTTAAAGACATAAAAAATTGGATGAGCACCAATTTCCTGATGTTAAATTCAGACAAAACTGAAGTTATTGTTCTTGGCCCCAAACAACTCAGAGACTCTTTATCTGATGACATAGTTTCTCTAGATGGCATTGCTCTGGCCTCTAGCACTACCGTAAGAAACCTCGGAGTAATATTTGATCAAGATTTGTCTTTTAATTCTCATTTAAAGCAAACCTCACGGACTGCATTTTTTCATCTGCGTAATATTGCGAAAATTAGGCCTATCCTGACCCGAAAAGATGCAGAAAAATTGGTCCACGCTTTTGTTACCTCAAGGCTGGATTACTGTAACTCTCTATTATCAGGTAGCTCTAGTAAGTCCTTAAAAACTCTCCAGCTAATTCAGAATGCAGCAGCACGTGTACTAACAGGAACTAAGAAACGAGATCATATTTCTCCTGTTTTAGCTTCTCTGCACTGGCTCCCTGTAAAATCCAGAATTGAATTTAAAATCCTACTGTTAACTTATAAAGCTCTAAATGGTCAAGCTCCGTCATATCTTAGAGAGCTCATAGTGCCATATTATCCCACCAGAACACTGCGCTCTGAGAACGCAGGGTTACTCGTGGTCCCTAAAGTCTCCAAAAGTAGATCAGGAGCCAGAGCCTTCAGCTATCAGGCTCCTCTCCTGTGGAATCATCTTCCTGTTACGGTCCGGGAGGCAGACACCGTCTCCACATTTAAGACTAGACTTAAGACTTTCCTCTTTGATAAAGCTTATAGTTAGGGCTGGCTCAGGCTTGCCCTGTACCAGCCCCTAGTTAGGCTGACTTAGGCCTAGTCTGCCGGAGGACCCCCCTATAATACACCGGGCACCTTCTCTCCTTCTCTCTCTCTCTCTCTCTCTCTCTCTCTCTCTCTCTCTCGTATTCTATTACTGCATCTTGCTAACTCGGCCATTCTGGATGTCACTAACTCGGCTTCTTCTCCGGAGCCTTTGTGCTCCACTGTCTCTCAGATTAACTCATATCACAGCGGTGCCTGGACAGCGTGACGTGTGTGGTTGTGCTGCTGCCGTGGTCCTGCCAGATGCCTCCTGCTGCTGCTGCCATCATTAGTCATTAGTCATACTTCTACTGTTATTATACACATATGACTATTGTCACACATGTATACTGCCAGATATTAATACATACTTTCAACATATTGTACCACAGTAGCCAGAACTATAACTATAATATTATTACTTTCAATAATGTTGTTGTAAGCTACTGTCATTACCTGCATCTCTCTCTCTCTCTCTGTCTCTCCCTCTCTGTCTCTCTCTCTCTCTCTCTCTCTGTCTCTCTCTCTGTCTCATTGTGTCATATGGATTACTGTTAATTTATTATGCTGATCTGTTCTGTACGACATCTATTGCACGTCTGTCCGTCCTGGAAGAGGGATCCCTCCTCAGTTGCTCTTCCTGAGGTTTCTACCGATTTTTCCCCGTTAAAGGTTTTTTTGGGGAGTTTTTCCTGATCAGCTGTGAGGGTCATAAGGACAGAGGGATGTCGTATGCTGTAAAGCCCTGTGAGGCAAATTGTGATTTGTGATATTGGGCTTTATAAATAAAACTGAATTGAATTCAAAATTGAATATATGATATTTATATCTTTACAGCTGTGACAGTTGAGAACACAACCTGGATCAGATCTAAACTCATAAACTGTCTGTCTCTACTGTGGCTGCTGTGTCCTGAAGTCCCACAATGCTTTGTGTTGTCATGATCCTGTTGTCTGTTTTTTTACTTGTTGGTATTTATTTTTATTTTTATGCTCTGTAAGGACCTGTGTCCACATGTTCTCTGTGAAGAGCGGGTGAGAGCTGCTGCCTGGAGAAACAGCGCCGCAGCCTTGCCTTTTTTGAGAGGCTGCTCTAAAAATCTCTGCACTTTTAAAAAAGGCGCCACTGACGTCACCGCTGCGTCTTTAGCTCTGCTGCTGTCAAACTGTCACAGCAAAGACCGAACAGCTGATGTTTGGGAGCAGATCAGCTGCAGGACGCCGAGCGCTGAGCTTTTATCACCACTTGTTTTCAAAGCTTAAAGTTAACTGTGTCAGCCCTCTGTTCATGTAGCGGTACTTTAGCTACCAGGCTAACGCTGAGGTGACCCTGAGTTGACCCTGAGGTGACCTGAGTTGACCCTGAGGTGACCCTGAGTGGACCCTGAGACGACCCTGAGGTGACCTGAGTTGACCCTGAAGTGACCCTGAGTGGACCCTGAGACGACCCTGAGGTGACCTGAGTTGACCCTGA